TGGAATCCACATCACCCTGTTGCAAGACAAAAACAATCAACAACACACTGATAGATAAATAGTATGACCACTCTGAGCTTTGCAGATAGTGCCCCAGCTCAAAGCAAAACATACTGATACAAGAGCACATTGCAGCTGATGCACATTCACTGGGTCACCTTTTTCTTCCCATTCTTTCTACTTTATGCCAGACACTAACATCTGGTTGTGTTGGCACTCCCAGAAGTCAGCAAGACTGCCCTTGCTCTCCTGCTGGTGTTAGGAAGGAGTGTTGACATCTATGTTCCTGATTTGACCAAACCTAATTGATGTATATCATTAGTCACCAAATTTAGAACCAATACCTAACCTTGACTATCATCAACATTGCCTTGACACCCATTGTCAGTACCAACACTAAACCATTAGGACAGTGTTCACACTAATGAGATAAAAAATGGACTTGTTTACTAACTGCTAATTCACCACTCAATATTTTTTTTTTTTAAGTTCTGAAACGGATCTTGGAACATGATTTAAGGGATAATTTTAGGTCTTTTAGTGAAGTTTATATTAACACCTTTGTTCTCTGAAATCAGGGTTTTTCGTTAGACAGGGAAGGTTATACTTGAAGAAGGGCATGAAATGTGAAGAGGCCTGAAAATAGAAAAACAAAACAACAATGCATCTGCTCATTTGTTACTTTTCCATGAGTTTTGGGTGACATTCAATATTTCTCTTGTCCCCCAACCACGTATTAATTTTTTTTCAGTGTTAGAATACATTCTGAAAGGTTACTGACCTTATATAAGAGTTGAATTAAAGGAAGCTGCATATTTGCATCATGTAGAACTTGTGTGATTATTGCTAAATCATTTTATTCTTATTCAGGTGGCTGCTAGTTCCCTAGAAAGCTCCTTACTCAAATACAGTGCCAAGGAATACATGTTCCGAGCAGCACTGTGCCACTTGTGTGTCGACTTGACCAATTCAAAGATTGCCGTGGAGAAGTATGAAGAGATGTATCCAGCGTTCCAGGACTCCCGCGAGTGCAAACTGCTCAAGGTTTGTTTCATATGGCAAATATTGTTTTATTTTTTTATTTCATTTCATTTATTCATTTATTTTCACTTGCTTTCATCTTTAATCTATGCAGTGTAGGGAATAGCTCACACTGGCAAGTATATCTTTCCTTCTCTCTATTCCCCTCTAAAATATCAAAAATGTTAAAAGGACCAATTTTCTTTGCAGCAAATTAAGTCTTTGCTTTTATCCTAGCTGTCAGAGAGAGGAGGGAAATTTGTTTAGACTTAAAGGCAATTCTGAGTTATCATGCAAACATGTGCTTACAGGCCCTTATGAATCACCTGGAGGACCAGAACGTGGATGCTTTCACTGACACAGTTAAAGAATACGACTCCATCTCCCGCCTTGACCAGTGGTACACAACCATGCTCCTCCGAATTAAGAAATCAATCGCTGCTGAGGACCTCTGTTGAGGGGCGTAAGAGAGGTGTTGAGGGAATGAGGTATTCTAAGGGACAATGGTTGAGTGATAGCTACTAGGATGATGCTAATGTAGCGCTACTAGTGTGCGACGAAAAATGATACGAAGAGTTATTTATACTGTTGATGATGTTTAATAGAATTTTTTTTTCCCCCTATGTCTCTTTTTTTCCTCCATCTTTTCTCATTTGTGCTCTTATTGTGTCTCTTTTCTCCTCATCTCTGTCTGTGGAAGTCTTAACTGGTGTATCTGTCAAGATGTAAAGTTTCTTGTCATTTGTTTTCTACTTGTCTGTCCAAAAGAAAATGCTTAGTGTATGTGCAGCAACTTCTTTCTCTCTCATTGTTTCTAGGTGCATGGAAGTGTCTTTTTCCATTATCAGTCTATTATAAGGCAATTATTTACTATTTTATATATTTTAAGTTTATGATATACATTTGTAGAACACAAAGTTTTCAGCTTTGTGGTAGAAATATTGAGATATGTGACAAGACTGATAGATATGCCAAGTCTTCTGAGTTGTGAAGCTATAGGGTTATAGTATCATCATCCTAATAGAGCTTCATAGTAACTCCTGTGTATAGTGTAGTTACCATGAATATCATGTCCCCCAGAAATATAATGTAATTTATACACTTTTATTATATATTTTCCTTGTTTTTATTCAGATCATTCTACTTAGTTTCAAGTGTGCTCTATCCCAAGGATAAGGATAAGACTGTATAAATGTAGTGTAATGAATAATAATGAAATTCATTTGCGAGATGACTTGTCAAGGGCAAGTCTTGTGTGAGTGGCATATGTGGCCATATGGTATTAATTACATCTTTATATTTTTTGTTTTGATTAAGTTAGAAGGGAAAGAGCATTTGATAGTTTGAGCTTACCTTTGATTATATTTTTGAAATTTCTAAGTAAGAAAAAAAAAAAAAAGAAAAAATGAAAGAATATGTGAGTATTTTTTCCACTCTCCCTTTTTTTATCCTTAATTTGCTTTTACTCGAAAGTCAAATGTGGATTCATAATTCAGTAACATCCTTTTATCAGATTTATTTTGCATTTGTTGATTTTTTTTTTCCTTTTTTACAGTGCAGTTGCATGTTTGAGAATATTACTATTTAACTAAAAGTAATGCTTTGAACTGCATGTTTGTGTATTCCTTAGAAGTTCTATGCTGAATTTTGTAGGGTACCTGACATATTAATTTTCAGATTCTTAAAAAGCAAATCTGTGGCACAAGGTGCTTGTGCTGTAAAGTTTATTAGCTTTAAATATACATTTTCGAAAAGGCTTTGTCATTAGGAAATGAATTACGTTATTTTGGAGCTGTTTACCCTCACAACCCTGTTGAAGCAAAACCTTTGATTTTGTATATTTACTGTATTTTGTAGGCAAATAATTATTTCTGTGTATTAAAGTAGTCAGATATTGTTTTTCTGTAATATTCATGGAAGTGGATTATTGCATAGACCAGTTAAGTATGTTCAGAATGGCTTCACATTCCTGTAATAAAAGAGTTTAAAAAGGGTGTTACTTTTGAGTTGAATTTTGATGTTAAAACTTCAGAGTATTATACCTCTTTAATTTATTATGTTTTATAAATTTATGTTATCGATTGATTGTGTGGAATAAATTATTTCTATTTTACCGTAGAAAAAATTTCCCTCTTTCTCAACAAATAAAACAGACTTACCAAAAAAGAAGAAAATGCCTGGAACATGTTTTTAAGAGCTGATATGCAGTCACTTCAAGAAAACAGGTTGAACAACTTTAACAATTTTGGACGGTCCAACCAAAGTGTACAAGGTCCATGCATGATGAAACACTTCATTGTGATTATCGTTCAAGACAGTGAGATGATTTTGAAATAAAGGAGGATAATGTATCAAATTTATTTTGTATTTTTTTTTTTCTTTTCATTTATATTTTTAACACCATCAGACTGGCTTTATGATGGTAGCATGTTGTTAAAAAGGGGAAGATAATCCTGGAAGATTGCATAAGAAGACTTGGTGCACAAGCAGTTTGCCAAGAAGCAAAAAACTGAAAGCTTTTTAAGTATTCAAAACTTTGAATATTTTCAGTGCTCAGGAGTGTAAGAATCTATAGTGGCTCTGAATTTTGATGATTATGCGTAGACTACTCTGTCATGATGTTGAATGAAAATTGTAGTTTTAGGTAATTGTTTTATTACTATCAGGTTTAATATGTAATATTTATTGACTAATAATGAGCAATGAATAGTGACTGAAGGCAGTTTTTAAAATCCATAGATATAGGATTACAAGAATCATACAATCATTGTTAGTGCTTTACTCTAAGTTGTCATAAATTATTATTGTAAAAGTAATGTTCATGGATTTTATTTTTCTTGTGTAAGTGATAAAGAAAAAAGTTCCTCGTTCAGTATACCAACTCTTAGTTTTGTTTTTTTAATTCAAAGTAATTGAATCATAACAGCCAAGATCTGTATGTGATTTTGTTAGACATTGAATATTTTATTCCCAGTGTCTCATACTAACTACCTACAAAAATATTACTGTGAAAAATAAAGTATTACATGTAATTCACCCCACACTAAACCACCCTTCCCTTCTTTCCCTAATGATTAATAAAGTTTTCCATGTGTAAAGATATTTGGTATATTTGTACAGGCACTTCCAGCTGTCCAGCCTAGATTCTGTTGTCTAATGTGGTGACGTATTTCACTGATGATGATTTTGTGTGATAATGCATGCTTCTTGTTCATTAAGAAGTTTTTATTAAATATATATGCACAATAGCCTTATTTTGTAAACCCCTTACAAATTCACAATGGAAATTAGTTATAGTGCTGAGAGAAATTTCTGGATTTTTGTTTCCTTGCAAATAGCACAAGAATGTGCATCCTATAGCCATTAACATTAAAAATAACCTTCCTGGGCTCATAAAACTACTGTTTTGTATTTTGAATTGCACTGCAGTATTTTATCTGTATTAAGGGAAAATGATTAACAGAGTAACTAGGTGTTTCCGTCAATAAAGCATAATACTTTTTTGCTCGCTCTCTCTTGTTCTCTCATTATTTTCTTGCTGTTGTGTTTTTCTCTCTATCTCCCCATATTTCATTCCTTCCATGATTTGTCTGAAACACAAACATCCACATTCACATCTACAGATTCATTATATGGCTGATATGAGAAACAGATCCTTATTTACAAATTTTGTATATAGATTGTGGGATCTTATCTTTTGAGATAGCCATCTATGCAATTAGGTCTCTTATTATTTTTTTCCTTTTTTTGGATGAAAAAGGGAAAGTGTTTGGTGACTGAAAATAAATTATTATAAGGAACTATTTAAAGAGGCTAGTATTAATATAGAGATAGATATGGAAGAATATTTAAGCTATTTGTGAAGTTGATTAATATATTATCTACTCAATATCATAGAAACTATAACTAAAACCTCAGATGCTATATATTTTCTTTAAACAAAACAATGTTAACCATTCTCCCTCATTATGTTCCCAAAATCTCTCCATTCCCACAGCACAGTACACTTTGTTTGTTGCATATCAGTATCAAGAGACAGTGAATAATTAAATAAAAACATTAACTATTGTAATAAGTTAGAGTTTTATATGGAGATAGACTATAAATATAATTTAATCACACCCTGATTATTGTATGAGTGAAATATCTTCTACATTTGTTGGTAATAATGGTGTGTGTTAGGCTCACATAGTAGAAACTTTCTTGTTATGGGAAACCAACCTTTATATGATTATGGAGTTTTCTGATCTTGTTGACAAAGAGATTTAAAAGAGTGTAATTCATAACAAAGCTGGTGTGTAGGAATTAAACATGTTCTTCAAGAGTTGTTTCCCTTAAATTTCATATCTTATCTGTAGTAGCAACAGCTATGCTAATGTGTTTGTGCTTAGGTTTTTGTAAATATAACCAAATAAGTATCTGTCAAACTCAGTACTGTATTTCTGAATACTATCCAATCACTCAAACTCTATTACTGTTTCATTTCTTCCAAGACTGAATACTGACATCAAATAAAGATACATAAATAGTAAATGAAAAGGGAATAACTTCACCAATATTAAGTAATTTGATTGTGTCCACACAAGAACCTTAATTCTTAACTAATTTCACCACATACATTGGTTCCATAAATATGTATGGTATAATAAAGTGAAATGTTTGATATAATAAGAAACAAAAATTCCCCAAAATTAAAAAGTATTAAAAAAAGTCATGGCCTTCTATTTTTTTTTAGTTTTTTTTTTGTCTTACATTAATATAATTGCATCTTCAATGTGACTACTGTGATGATAAACAACCAAATGTAGTGACAAAATAGGTAACATTTAGCACCTGCACAATTAACTCTGAATTCCTTCATTTGACTAAGAATTGGGGGGGGGGTTAGAAAAGCAAAGAAAATTATACAAATCTCTACAGAGTATTAAGGCTTTAATTAAAAATGCAAAAGTTCTAACAATGATGATGATGGACAGTTGCCCTAAAAATCAGCAGTCACAAGGTTAGAAACAAGCACCTTACATGCTAAAGCCTGAACAGGTAACTAGTCTGATCCTGTTAATTAAGCCCACTCTAACCTGCCTGAAAAAAAGTAATACCCTGAGCCAACAGTTTGGCTTGAGGCAAGAAAAATGGGTCCAGAGGCCCATACATGCTCGGTTTACCTTGAACTCCTTTTTACTCTTGTACCCAGAAGGCAACCTGAGAGTATGTGGAAACCTAATGTTGTTGCCTGGCTGATGGCCCATATAGAAAGACCTACAAGAAGTTGGCAAATGGCAGAATAAAAGATAAATATCTGATGTACTGGTGGCTGCAGAGTTTAGAAGTAACTTAACTAATGTTCAGTTAGGAACTCAAAGAGCAAAGAAAATGAGAAAATATGAAAGGTTATTCATAAACATTATTGCCTTTTGACCTTCCATCTTCTGTATCATTAGTATGTATATGTATGACCCTTTCTCTGCTTTGCTGGAGAATTGTTTTATTTTGCTCACTTTTTCCAGTCATTCTTAAATAGAAATTCCTAGTAATCCTTTTTGTTTTGACTTCATTCAATTTTTAAAATCATTTTTACAACAAGAAATTTCTCTCCATTCCATTTACTTTATTTTTTGTGTCACTCATTTTGCTGTAGTTTGCTCTTCCTGAAAGCAATTTTCATAAATGTGTGGCTCAGTCTGATGATTTTTTCCATATGTCTTATAACTGCTGGTTATTAAATAATACAGGAAAGTAAAAATTAGAGAAAGACTTACAAGCAGCAAACCACAGAAATACTGTAGAATGCAACTACCTGAATTTTTTTTTATTCATCATCAGTTCCATTCATGAAAACACAGTACTTGACATTTGACAAAGACCCACTTCCTTCTAAAGATGACATAGAAACAGGGATTACATATATACAAGCATAATGCCTTTATGGAAATAACTTTACTATAAAGTTAATTTGCCATAGGAAAATATATCATCATAGCTTGACTTCAGTGTATACGAACATCAAGGATAAGCTAAAAAAAAATGACAGCATCATATCAGCCTTTTGGTGTTGGCAGTAACTACATTGTAAACAAATGCAGCAATTACTATGAGAGATATCCAATATTAAAATGTCATTCAAAAGGACAGTCATAGTAAAATATCTGCATATCTATTGTTACAAAACTGTTATGAACTGATATGTTAAAAAGAAAATGTGTAGCCATAACCTGACAATACCTGAGACTTCTTACATAACGGTCATGATACTTCAGTTACATGAAAGGATAAAAACACAAAATTTCTTTGTATTTAATTATTCTATAATCTAAATAATTTTACAAAAATGAAATAGAATAATATTCTATCTTTCCAAAGCATATTTACATATAATTCTTTAAATAGACTTCATATTGTGAAGAAATGTCAAAGAAAGACAGGTTCACAAAGACAGGTTCAGTTATACTTCCCCCATCTTCAAATTAAGAAAAAACAAAA